CCTAGACATCCGTGTAATATTTCTGGGGTCCACAGGCAAAATATAACAAATTGGGGGTCAACAATGATATTTTGGTGGTCCATTAAGAAAACAAACTCAGAATGTATTTTATTATTAAAAAAATTAATTTCTACTGTAATTTACACTATATTGAAATATATATATATATATATATATATATATATATATATATATATATATATATATATATATGAACGATTCTTCCTTTCTTTATTTCTTTTATATAGGTGCCACCACTGAATTTTCGATAGCTAAGTTTTGAAATTAGTTGCTACATTATTGCTTTTCCAACATCTTGTTGAATCGGGATTTAGTCGTGTTTCTCAACTGTTACCAAAAGTTCGCAATAGATTTGACATTGTGAAAAGAGGTGATCTTCGACTATCATTAACATCGATGGAACCAGATATAAAGAAACTCGCTGAGTAGCATCCATCACAGGGATCTCATTGAATAAATATGCCTTTCATTTGTTTTCTCATCACACAGTTATTTATTAAATTTTTTATCCAGTGTTCATAAAAAAATGCTGCAGTGAATTCAATTGCCTGAATAGATCTGCTCCCCATGGCCTTGATCATGGAAGGAATATTGTAATATTGTAATATCAGATATTGTTCAATAAAAATTATTATTACGATTATTATTACTATTATTATAATAATTGTTGAATAATTTATTTGCATGTAAAAATAAAGCTTAATTATATAATATTTCTTTAATTAATAAAACCTCAGCGTTTTTATTAGTGGAAAATAGATTATTGTTGTCGTATGTGAAATGGCTCTTAAGGTGTCCACCAAGAAAAAAAAACAGGGAAAAGGGGTTTATGGATAAAAAAAAAAAAGGTTGCGAAATCCTGATTTAAAATATGTAATTTACGAAGGGTGTGACATTCAAAAGATCGTTTCTATTCGTTCATGTAATTAACCTTCATTTGTCTATCTTGATTTTCAATTTTGATTAGCCAGATTGGCACTTGTGGTGTTGAGCGGTCTCTGACAGCGCGCGCCTTCTGTCGAACTCTCTACGTTAGCAGAGAGGAACCCGGACGAGGTTTTGCCGAAGGGCAAGGTTTCGTCCGGGGAGGTAGACAGGGCCTGAACCCGTCTAGGCGGGTTCAAAGGCTATATTTTTGGCCGAGTCTACGGGCTCGGGGATACCCACATTAAAACCGGCCTTGTGCCATATTCTGTTCTCGTGGGTGGAACGATAAATACCCAGATTGGCACTTGAGGGTAAGGCTGATATTTACCTCCGATATTATTTTTCTTCTTTCTTTACTTAATTACGAACTTAAATTTAAGTCGTGAAGAGATTTTTTTAAAAAATCTTTCTTAAAAGAATCTTCCTTGCTGCGTTGTTAAAGAATGCTGGTCCCAAAATAGCAAAACCTGACGTACTGAAATGCGTGGGGCTGTTTTCAAACCAGTGGGTGTGGAATTCTCGCTGTGATTGACTTTGATATCGATGTTTTTTTTTCTCAAAGTTTTAACATAAGACAAAAAAAATCAAAGAAAAGACAATTAAAAAATAAAATAGTGAAGCCGCCACGCTATCTCAGATTCCTTAAAAAGATAAGTTTCTTGGTGCCGTTATTAAAGTAAGAGAGAAAATGAATATGTATCAACATCGTAATTTTCTCTTTAATAACAACACTAAGAAGCTTGTCTGTCAATATGAAAGGATCCAATTGAAAATAAGTAAACAAAACTTGTCTAAATTATTCAATGAAACATGTCTATATATATATATATATATATCTATATATTAAGACATTTTTTTATTTTATATGTTCTTTTTATGGATACAAATATTTAAGTAAATGCTCTGTTTACAACGGTATTAGATTGGCGGCAAGCTCTCATTTGAACAGTATTAGCATAATTTACCGGCTTGAATGTCCGAGAAATTTTCATAGAAAGTATGCATCCTCCGACAGGAATCGAACCTGTATCCTATACGTAAATGTCAACAAATGACGTCACACATTATGAAATGGACAAAGTCCGACAATTTGGATACGCATCGAGCAGATATGAATGTATGAGAGAAAATCATTGAGAATTGTAGTTTAAAAACAGTAAAATAGACCTTGCTAGCCGAAACGCTCATCTGTGGCTAAATCGGTAAAAGCACGTCAGGCTAGATGACGGTTCCGTATGGGATACAGGTTCGATTCCTGCCGGAGGACATATATATATATATATATATATATATATATATATAAAATAGGAAGGAACTGGTTAGGTAAATAATCCAAAGTCCCTTAATATTTTAGTTATTATTTTTTTAAAATAGTGCTCGATACAAAAGTAGAGCATAAATATAATTATTTATTTAAAAATATAAATAAATAATTATATATATATATATGTGTGTGTGTGTGTGTGTGTGTGTGTATTAGATTGGCCAGAAAGTCCTAACTCACTTATGAAGCAATACCAATATGTATTCTTCAAAATAAAGTCCATTATTCTGGATGAACTCCTGCCAGCGATCAGCCAGCATCCGAATCTGTCTCAAATACCAGTCCTCTGGTTTTGAATCAAAAAACTGCATACAAGATTCCTTCACTTCATCAGGTGTGACATTGAGCGGAATAGGCCATAGTCACTCGGAGCCGCATCGATTGACGCGGAAGAATCTCAATGTTATTGGTCCTGATCTGGCATCTTGGCATCAGTTACTTCACCGCAGCAAACAAAATCCTTAAATGTAGTTAAATGAAAGAAATGTCGACGTCTGACGTTTCGGTTTATTAAACCTTTTTCAAGACAATATTCATCAAAATACAATTCAGTTCAATATGACAAATACGATGGACATAAAAACACAAGTCTTATTCCGAACAGATAACTGAAAATTTTTAAAATGATCAGCCTTCCGTCTAACATGGTCACGCTGTCGTCACATGGGCGACGCTTTCCATCTCAACGTGAATACTGACAAGTTTGTTTATTATTTTGAAATTTTAAAAGAAGAAAGAAAAGAAAAGAAACAAAGAAAAGAAAAAAGAAAAGAAAATGAAAAGAAATTTTTCATTTTCTTTCTAAAATTCTTTTGTGTTTCAAAATAATCATCAATTTCGCTAAAAAGGGAAAATATTAAAGAAACCAGGTCTATGTTATTCACTGTCATTTTAAAATTTTCAGTTATCTGTTCTGAATAAGACTTGTGTTTTTATGTCCATCGTATTTGTCATATTGAACTGAATTGTATTTTGATGAATATTGTCTTGAAAAAGGTTTAATAAACCGAAACGTCAGACGTCGACATTTCTTTCATTTAACTACATTTAAGGATTTTTGTTTGTTTTTTCAAAATTTCTTCATATATATATATATATATATATATATATATATGTAAGCAAATATATGGATACAAATCCGACACTATGAAGAAAAATATATACGGAAAAAACAAACAAAAATCCTTATATACAATTATGCTGTTTTAATGTTAATATGTCAACGTCGGACGTTTCGGTTTAATAAACCATCTTCGGGACATATTCATAAATTATAACATTATCAATACAACATGACAAAGATGATGTACATAAGAAAAAGAAATATCCAAACAGATAACTGATATATATATATATATATATATATATATATATATATATATATATATATATATATATATATATATAGAGAGAGAGAGAGAGAGAGAGATACATAGGTAGATAGATAAATAGATAAAGATTCGCACATCGGGAAATCAGAGATTGGGATTTTGCTACTGGAAAACCCCACCTAAAAAAAAAAATCTGTCGCTGAGTAATTGCCTTTTCCCTGTTTATACCTCGATTCGTTGATGAAGGACACAGGCGTGTCTGAAAGTTCCGAACTTAAAACTTTTCTCTCCGTACTTCATCTCTATCATATGGTTAATAATTGATATTTAAAAAATGTTAATCCTACTGATTATATTGGTACCCTTTCATTTGTCCTTGCTTTATCAACTAGCCTATCTATTTGGCATATTATAAGAAGCACACGTGAACAGTTTTTTGAATTATATATATATATATATATATATATATATATATATATATATATATATATATATATCGACTCTCCCGTCGAGATTCGACGTATGAGGGTCAAGCAGATCAGTTTCCAGGAAACCGACAGCCCGACACCGGCACATGAGATTTGATTATAGTGGTGAAGGCCTCGTGCAGGACCATCCACACATTTTGAAGGGACGAATACAGAGACCTGGTGCACTAAGTGCCACAAGGTTCCCAAACGACCCTCCGCAGGTTTTGAGTTCAGAGTTGTCCTTCTCCTAGACCAGTTGCCATCCAAGGCTATAGAACCCAGTCTGTCCTGCTATTTTACCCATAGCTGGAGGGAGAGGAAGAGGATTCATGCTTTTCCCTAGGGTATTAGCATGTAAGTGAATGTAATGGATTCGACTGGAATATATATATATATATATATATATATATATATATATATATATATAATTATAGGTAACTATACTCGTTTCGAAAAACCCTCGAATTTTTGATTTGTGAAGGAAAAAAGGTTTTAAAAAAGAAAGAGCTAGGAACATGAAAGTCTGTCGAAAAAATCGCACAGATACAGGTTTAAAGCCCAAAGAAAAAAAACCGACACGAGTAAACAACTAACTAAAAAAGCTCAATACAACCGTAGAGCAGAACTAGTCAAACCTAGTGAGCAAGACAAACTCTGTCTCGCTCACTAGGTTTGACTATAAAATATCTATATCTATATATATATATATATATAAAAATTTCTATATATATTTTATATGCCCATTTCTATATATATATATTATATATGCGCAGAGTTTGTCTGTCGTCTGATGATCGCAAAAGCATGAAACACAGGATTACAAACTCATATCCATACAACTAATATATACATGGATTTTAATAAAAGCAAAGGTTTATCGCCGAACTTAGTGCATTCAGTTGGCTGTGTTAGGTGATAACTCCTGAAATGCTTCAAAATGTGTTTCGCTACGCTAGTGATTCTAAACTGCGTTCCCCCGAGGGGGGGGGCGTCATTAAATCTGATGTGCTTTGGTCTCTCGCCAACGAAGCAAAAGCCTGATCACGCAAAGCCCGAATAGTGCTTTTGGACACAGAATTTCCCGGAGTGTGCATATTTTTCTAATAATATTTCTCGAATATTCAGGCCGGTAGATGTAAATAAATAGTCTCAGAGCATCTACACAAACTATGATGAACTAATAAATGAAAATCGATTATATATATATATACAAGTATAGGATTGGTATAGGATTGGTGTATACGGAATAAATTCCAATAACCAAAAATACTGTCTATATTTCTGAGATGAGGTATTATGTACATTATTTACATTATTCGGACTATTGTCATCATCTTTTAGGCCATATTTATCACAAAAATGGAAAGGAATATAAAGGAGAGACAGGCCACCCCCTCAAGGTAAGTCTTCAAGAACATCAGAAAGCTGTAACATGAGGGGAAGTAGAAAAATCAGGCGTGGCTGACCACATATGGAGAGAAAAGGGAGATCACCGCCCTCTGTGGGATCATGTTGAGACCATAGACAGGGAACACCACTGGAAAATTCGTAAACTTAAGGAATCAGCACATATGCTAGGCCACAAAAATCTCCTGGGCCGATCAAGAAAAGGAATAAATACAATATGGGAACCAGTAATAAGGAGTGCCAGAGAAAAGCAATGATAACAACATAGTTGCAATATGAGCTCTGGTAAAAATATGCAATGATAAAACCAAAATTGCAATATGAGCACTGGTAAAAATGGTTGCTGAAGACATTAGGTTTATAATACCCAGAAATTCATACCAGACACATAGTACAGTGGATAAAGGCGTTGGTTAGATCCAGTGACAGGACCCAAAGAGTGTGAGTTCAATACTCGGTTAAGGCAGTGGAGAACTTTCAGAGGGAAGATTAACAGGAGATAACTGATAACTGACATCCATCAAACATGGCACGTGGAACTAGCGAGTGAAATAAAGGGTTCAGTTCGACATTCCAACCACCTGAAGAAGGCCGGTGCGCACAACGGCCGAAACGTTGTGATAGATATGGCGAAAAACATGAGGACAATAGTCCGAATAATGTAAATAATGTACATAATACCTCATCTGAGAAATATAGACAGATACTGAAGGGCCGAAACGTTGTAATAAATATGGCAATAAAGATGAGGACAATAGTCCGAATAATGTAAATAATGTACCAAAAATAATATTCTTAATAGGGTGCTTAATACAGAGTAAAGCAAATATAATTTATTCGAAAATTATAACGTAAATATGCTATAAAATCACTACAAAAATAGCCATTTTGTTTCAATACTTTTGGTGTCTTATCAAGTGATTCAATTGAATTCAACACCACAACTAATGGTACCAACATTCATACTCTGGCTTCCATCTTCCAAGTCTATTCAAGAACCATGAAGAGAATGGTGAATTAAGTTTTAAAAAGATGGAACAGTAGAGCCGAAAATTGGATCAGGAGATCACAAGAAGAAGAAGGATCATCATTTCACTTTAGAGCTAAATACATTCTTATTGTTCAAAGTAGAGATCAATAGTGTTATAAAAACCTCGGAGAATTCCAGTAAGATATCTTTAATCATTTCTAAGACACAGCGGTTCAAATCTTAATTGGACAAATTTGCTTTTACACGATTTGGACAATTTTGCTGTTGCACCCGGTAAATATTCTTATATGTGCCTTGACCCTTAAGAATGCTGACTATCACGGCTCTCCACAACTTCCTATCATGTGTATCTTTGAGTAAGCTTTCTCTTTTTGCTATCCCATGCAGTCTCTTTGTTACCATCTATCTACCCAAGATAGGTAGGTACTCGCTATTTCCCTGTCGTATGAATGTCGAAATCTCCAAGCCTTCTTTCCTCATTAAGTGTCTATTTCAGATTCAAGAAGTGAAGCTGCTATATTCTTTCCTGTTTCCCCTCGTCTGTGTTTCTCCATCTTGTCCTTTTTTCTCCTTTCGCCTTCCTCATTATTTTCTAGCAACTCGATGTCTATTTTCTCCTTCAGTTTACACACCTCGTTTTTCTCTCTCTTCCCACCCGTTCTCCTCCCTCACTTCTTTTATTAACTCCCACCTAACACTTCACTTTTTCTGTCTCTTCTCGACATCTGGAGCCTTTTCTGTCTCTTCTCGACATCTGGAGCCTTTTCTGTCTCTTCTCGACATCTGGAGAATTTTCTCTCTCTTCCCTATCCATTTTCTTTTCCTCTCTCTCCCTCTCTCTCTCTCTCTCTCTTGCCTTCTTCCCTATTTGTCCTCCATATTCTCTTTCTCCCTTACTACCCTTCATTTTCGTCTTTCTCTCTCCTACAATTTGTTTTATTTCCCCTTGCTTAACTTTTATTCGCTCTCTCTTTCACCCATAAAAAAAAATCATTTTCAATCTTCCGCTGAGTTTACACTCACTCCCTTACACAATCTTTCTCTCTCTCTATGTCCCCCCCTCCTTGTTCACTCTTTTCTACCCCTATGCCATCTTCTTTCTCCTCCTTTATTGTTTCTCTCCCTAAAAACTTCCTCTTTAGCTCTCGTTTTCTTCTCCTCCCTTTCTCCAATAGTTCTCTTCCTTTTATCAACTCCCACCTAACACATCGCTTTTTCTGTCTCTTCTCGACATCTGGAGCTTTTTCTCTCTCTTCTCGACATCTAGAGCTTTTTCTGTCTCTTCTCGACATCTGGAGCTTTTTCTGTCTCTTCTTCACATCTAGAGCTTTTTCTGCCTCTTCTCGTCATCTAGAGCTTTTTCTGCCTCTTTTCGACATCTAGAGCTTTTTTTTTTTACCTCTTTTTGATATCTGGAGCTTTTCTGCCTCTTCTCGACATCTGGAGCTTTTTCTGCCTCTTCTCGTCATCTAGAGCTTTTTCTGCCTCTTTTCGACATCTAGAGCTTTTTTTACCTCTTCTTGAAATCTGGAGCTTTTCTGCCTCTTCTCGACATCTGGAGCTTTTTCTGCCTCTTCTCGACATCTGGAGCTTTTTCTGCCTCTTCCCGACATCTATTCTTTTCCTCTCTCACTCCCTCCTTGCTTTATTCCTCTTTTTCTCTCTTTTCCCTGCCAATCTTCTTTCCCCCCTCTCTTTCTCCTTGGATTCTTCTTCTTTTTCTCTCTTTTTCTCTATCTATCTTCTTTTCCACTCTCTCTTGCCTTCTTCCTTTTTTTCTCCCTTTTTTCTACGAATCTTCTTTTCCTCTCTTCCTTTGTCGTCTTCGACTTTTTCTTTCTTCCCGACCCATCTTCTTTTCCACTTTCTCTTGCCTTCTTATTTCTCTCTCTCTCTGTGTCCTACACACCTTCTTTGCCCCCTCTCTCTCCAACTTACCTTCTTTTTGTTTTTATCTCTCTTTCGTCCCCATCTTCTTTTCCTCTCAGTCTCCTTAGCTTCTTCTTCTTTTTCTCTCTCTCTTCCTTACCCATCTTCTTTCCTTATCTGCCCTTAACGTCTTCCTTTTTTTCTCTCTCTTTTCCCTACCCATTGCTCCTCTCTCTCACTCTCACTCTCTCTCTCTCTCTCTTGCTTTCTTCCTTATTTTTCTCCCACTCTGCTCTCTCTCTCAGTCCCTGTGCAGTTAACATCATATATCCCCATCTCCTTATTTTTCATACCTTCTTCTCTTTGTCTCCGATAATTCAAATTCTTCTCCCCGTTCCTCATCTGCCTCGTTTTCTTCCATCTTTTCAAGCGTTTTATTCGTTAGCCACTTTCCCATCGTATCATCCCCCGGTTAATCGACTGAGTTTCTCTGATGTTTTAATCTTCAGATCGATTCTCCGCAAAAATCGATCGGCTATTGAATCTCAGTACGCAGTCTTGCAGGATAATAATTGGCCCTCTAATGAGTTATAACCACTTGTTAAATTTGCGCGCAGACCGACATATCCCATCATAGAACTGTCAGCTCAATACACACACATCATATAACAAACAGAATTCAAATACATACACGCACACAAAGATAGTCAATGGTTTTTTTTTTCTGTAGACATAAAATCGTACAGGCCAATGATGACTAACCCTAAACAACATCGCAATATAGGCCATTACGAAAACGGTTACCCGACATTGAGATATTTGAAATAACGTCTGAAAGACAAGTAAAACCCACAACAAACGACAATCGATATATTCTGCTTTTCTGGAACCTGTTCTTTTATTGTCCGTTCTCTTTATTAATAACTTATCAGTATTCGACTTCAAGTAAAACATTGTATCTTAGTGGCATAAAAAAAAGGTTACGAAATCCTGATTTAAAATATGTAATTTACGAAGGGTGTGACATTCAACATATCGTTTCTATTCGTTCATGTAATTAACCTTCACTTGTCTGTCTTGATTTTCAATTTTGATGAGCATATCCCAGATTGGCACTTGAGGGTAAGGTTGATATTTACCGCCGATATAATTTTTCTTCTTTCTTAATTACGAACTTAAATTTAAGTCGTGAAGAGATTTTTTTAAAAAATCTTTCTTAAAAGAATCTTCCTTGCTGCGTTGTTACAGAATGCTGGTCCCAAAATAGCAAAACCTGACGTCCCGAAATGCGTGGGGCTGTTTTCAAACCAGTGGGTGTGGAATTCTAGCTGTGATTGACTTTGATATCGATGTTTTTTGGATGAAATTTGTTTTTGCTTTGGGATGCAAATTTTTTTTTTTTTTTTAAATTGTGTTCGTTTTGACGGGTATTCGTAGGAACATACGTCGGGTGGAGCACCTTTCTCCTGATTGGGAAAAAAAGGCGGTGTTATATAGCTAAAAACGGTGGAGTAATGGTTAGCAGCTCGGTTTGAGGAATTAGAGAGCCGAGTTCTAATTCCAGTCGAATCCATTACATTCACTTACTTGGAGTAACTTATCATCTCTCAGTTGCGTCTCTGTCTGTGGTCAGAGGGCACTCAGGGGCGACTCCTTCAAAGGACAGAGTCGCAACTGAGGAAAATTATACTGGGAGGTGCCTGCTCTGGGGAACAGCTGCCCGAGGCCGCGCCTTCTTGGGAAAGGCATGAATCTTCTTCTCCCTTCAGCTATGGGTAAATAACAGCACAGACCGAGTTCTATAGGCTTGGATTGCAACTGGTCTACCGCAGAAAGAAATGGCAACATCCTGCGCGAATATATTTGCCTCGTCGGTCATATATAGAAAGTTTACTAAGGAATCGGAGAGTCGAGTTCCAATTCCAGTCGAATAATTACTTTCACTTCCGTGCTAATACCCTTGGGAAACGTATGAATCCTCTTCTTCTGCTCCCCCAGCTATGGGTAAATAGCAGGACAGAGCCTTGGATGGCAAATGGTCTACGACAGAAAGAAATGGCAACCTAGTGCGGGAAAATAGAAATATCGAAAGATACATGATCGCCTATCACGCATGGCACATAACTGACTGACTATATCCCAGTGCCAGACCCACGCTGACAATTTGCTAATACATGCCCAGTGTTATTCATATGCGACTAGTCAGCGCTCGAAATAGGTCTTCTCTCAACAGCCCATTTTGGAAGAAGACGCTACCCTTGGTGCTTACGGCACCACATACAACCAACTTGTCTTCGCGCCTAAATTACTCTTTTGGGGTAATTTTACGTCTACTTATCATCTATCAGTTGCGTCTCTGTATTTAGGCAGAGGGCACTCAATGGGGCGACTCCGTCAAAGGACAGCGTCGGAACTGAGGAAAATTATACTGAGAGGTGCCGGCCCCGGGGAACAGCTGCCCGAAGTTGCGCCTTCTCATTGCAATAGAGAGAAGGATCGGTGCACGCACTAAAGCCAGTGCAACCGACGGTTGCGGGGGCTCGGGGAATTTTTGTTCCTTGCCCAGGTGTACGCCCTCGGGCTCCTCACATTAAACCGAACTTGTGTCACAATCTGACCTCGTTGTGGGGTGGGGGTTGAGTAACTATCTACAACCAACTTGTCTTTTATCGGGCTGACACGATTCTCTGTTATAAAGGTGTCCCTTATTGCTCTTATCTGTCTCTTGGACGGTCCTCATTGTCTACGACAGAATACAGATCCGTAATTAAGAAAATCACCAATATAGAACATTACATTCGTGGTTAACTTGCATGGTAATATTTAAATTAACTTCACAAAAATAAATAATATAATTAGTTAATCTGGTGACTCGGCTTCCGTCACTTCCCTACGGATGTAATCTTGCCACTCCGAGTATTTTCATGCTAATTGTTTGGTTAAGTTCTTCGTTATAGTAATTTTTGAATTTAAGAGCAGTACTAGACTGGCATTGGGATTTCATTAATCTGAGCTATGTCAATGCTTACAGACTCCAATATTAACGATCAGTATTTACCGATATCTGGACAAAATGAATGCATACAGACTCAAATATAAACGATCAGTATTTACTTATATGTGAACTAAGTAAACGCTTATAGATTCAAATATAAACGATGAGTATTTACTTATATATGGACTAAGTAAACGCTTATAGACTCAAATATAAACGATCAGTATTTATTTATGTATGAACTAAGTAAACGCTTATAGACTAAAATAAAACGATGAGTATTTACTTATATATGCACTAATTAAACGCTTATAGACTCAAATATAAACGATCAGTATTTACTTATATATGGACTAAGTAAACGCTTATAGACTCAAATATAAACGATCAGTATTTATTTATGTATGAACTAAGTAAACGCTTATAGACTAAAATAAAACGATGAGTATTTACTTATATATGCACTAAGTAAACGCTTATAGACTCAAATATAAACGACCAGTATTTATTTATGTATGAACTTAGAAAACACTTATAGACTCAAATATAAACGATCAGTATTTACTTATATATGAACTAAGTAAACGCTAATAGACTCAAATAAAAACAATGAGAATTCAATTATATATGCACTAAGTAAACGCTTATAGACTCAAGTATAATCGATTATTATCTACCTATATCTTACCTAAATTAATTCTGACAGACCGAAGTATGAACGACCAGTAATTACCTATATCTGAACTAAGTAAATGCTTATAGACTGAAATATAAACGATCAGTATTTGGCGATAACTAAATTAAGTAAATGCTTATAGATTCATATATAAACTATTATCACTTACCTATATCGGAACTAACTAAATGCTTATAGACTCAAATATAAACGACTATTACTTACCTATATCTGAAGTAAGTAAATGCTTATAGACTCAAGTATAATCGATTATTATTTAACTATAACTGAATTAAGCAAATGCTTATAGACTCAAATATAAACGATCAATATTTAGCTATATCTGAACTATTAAATGTTTAGACGCAAATATAAACGATCAGTATTTACTTATATCTGAAGATGATATGGTAATTTACCCACGCACGCATGGACTCTCCTATCTATAAATAGGAGCAGGTACTGCCTTTTGAAGAGGAAAGTTTCAAGCAGTCAGCTCTGACAGTCAGCCCGAACATTCTTGCTGTATATGTTTGTATATGTTTGTATTTTCTGTTAATATATTTGGTTAACACAATTCCTCCGCTGGTGCCTTTCATTCTAGCCCTAACAAGGCCACACCAGAAGTAAATGAATTCTTACAAACCCAAGTGTTAACGATCAATTTTTAACTATGCTTGAACTATGTAAATGCTTATAAGCTCATATAAACGACAGCTACTGAAACGGGCAATTGCTTACAGACTCGAATATAAACGTGTCGTATTTATCGCTTCCAGTGCCACATAAATGCTTGAAGACTCAAATACAAGCGACCTACCACTGAACCAAATTATAGAATTAAATATTTACCTACATCAAAGTAAATGCTTATAAACTGAAATATAAATCAGCGTTATTGACATTATCACCGACCAAGTACATGCTTTTTTATTTTACTAATGTAGTTATTTGATATATATATACATCATACCGTACGCACTGCCTGTTGGAACGGTTAGGCTGAAAGAAGCATGCAGAGAAAGGAATCCCATTTTTTTCCATCGCTGTTGCCATATTTCGGAAGGATATCCAAATAATAAAGGTAATCGAGCAAGTACAAATATTTAAATATATGTTTTAACAGATGACGGATAATGTGACTCCGAAATCCGAAGACGCATTGGGATAGCGAAAGATGCCTTTCAAAAGCTAAGCAAAGTATTAAGAAACAGGAAAATTGGATTAGAAACAAGAAAAGAGGACTGGACAACTCTATAACACCAGTCCTTCTATATGGCAGTGAATGCAGGACAATGTAATCACAAAAGGAAAAGAGACACGAAGCAATGGAGAAATGTGATTCTACAGAAGGATGCTGAGAATATCGTGGACTGAACATGTTATAAACGGCGATGTTTTAGAAAAAATGGAAGCAAAGTGGACAGTTATATCTCATAACAACAAAAAAGAGAACGCATAATGAGGAAAAAAGGCTCAGAAAATTTAATACTCACAGGTTATATTGAAGGCGAGATGAACGGAGGAAATCAGTGTATAACATAACTAACAGTCAATCAGTTATATGCCATGCGTGATACGCGCGTAGGCGATCATGTATCTTTCGATACATGACTGACGAGACAGATTATTCCCGATTATTCCTAATTTTCCATTACTTTCTGCAGTAAACCAGTTGCCATCCAAGGCTATAGAACCTAGTCTGTCCTACTATTTACCCATAGTTGTGGGGAGAACAAGAGTATTCATACCTTTCCCAAGGGTATTAGCACGTAAGTGAATGTAATGGATTCGACATGAATTCGAACTCGGCTCTACGATTCCTCAGCCATTACTCCACCTTGCCTTCACGTCTAACAAACAGGTTTTAGTAAATGGTTGGCAGAGCAGTGATTAAAAGAGATAGCAAAAAACAAAATTTGG